GGCCGGCCGCGGGGGCGTGCGGGGTCGGAGGGAGGTTAAGGAGACGCTGGAAGTGGCTAGGGTGAAGTCTGGAGGGGTCCTGTGGATTTTTCAGAGGCTTGGAGGGCGGAACAGGTATTAATACCGTTGTTGTTTAAAACCAGGTGGATTTGAAAGCTATAGCAGTTCCTCTTTTGGGGGAGCCGGAGGCTACACACAGTCCCCTGGGGGCTTTGGATCACCGACACCTTCCCAGGCCGAAAAGAAATCTGTAGGTTGAAAGCGTACTTTGTTTTATCTTATACTGTCCGGAAGCTACTGACTCATCTGTGAGAGAAAATTTATGCGATGAAGGAAGGGTGTTAAACTTGAGCTGATATTTTAATTGTCAGTTATTATCTTATCGAATCTTATAATTGAGTGCTGTAATTTTGAAAAATGAAATTCCCCTAATTTTGCATCCATTGTTTCCTTGGCTTTATTTTGAAATTTACCAATAGAACCAATGAAATCAACCTTGTGGGAAAAGTGAACTTGTTTGTATAGCCTAGTTTACATTCTTCATGTATTGGAAGTTGTTTTTAAATGAAATGTAATGAGGTGCTCTAATGCGGTGGAAAGAACATGGTCTTTGAAGTCTAGTGGATCTATGATCCACCATTGCTCTGACACTCCTTGCAGGGTATCATTGGACAAATGATACCTTCTAGGAAATCTGTTTGGCACCTACTAAATGGGATTAATAATAGATACCTTACAAGGTTGTTGTGAGACTTAATATTATGATATATATAATTACACCTGCCCCAGAGTTGCTTTCAGTAAATGGTCCCAGAGAGTATTATTAAAAAGAACCTGAGCATTGGAGCCAGAATACATGGTGTCCAGAATCAACTTTGCCTTTTAACTGGTGGTGTGAGTTTAGCGAAGCAGCTTGCACCGCTGGTTTTGGTGGCCCTTGATTTTTCTCATGTCCCAGGGTGGTTCTGAGAATTGATAAATAAGGTAATGTATAGGAAAGTGATCTGTAAAAAGCTGTCCAAATGCTTGTTATTCACTCTTTCAGAAATGAGTTTCAATTTAATAGCTGCTGTTGATTTCATCCTTCAAAAAATATAGGATTTGATGTTAAGATTCAGTATTAGTAGCTTCAGTGTTTTATGTCCAGGTTGATAAGCTTTTACCTAAACTGTTAATTCACAAGGGTGTGTCAGTGGGAAAAAATCCATTGATAATTCCCATACATTTGGGCATTGCTTTATATTTTTCATATGATTATTTTATATAATCCTGTGAGTTAACTATTATTTACTGCATTGCACAACAGAGGCTCAGGGAGATTAAGCGACACCTGAGCTTGCATAGCTGGTTAGACAGTCCACACATTGATGCTGCACAAATCCAAAATCTGATGAGCAGCTTCTGTCTATTGTAATTTTCTTTTTCCCAGGAAGACCAGAGGGGACTCCAAGTCCTCTAACTTTGTCTTCCTTGAGGCTGTAAAGGAAAAAACAAAAGATAGATCATTGGTTCTCATCTTTTCTCCTTTATCTCAACTATTTTTCTTCATTCTGGTTGTTAGAATTCTTAATCTCAGTATCCCTACCTGGGGCTGTGTATTAAAACTGCTTTTCGGAGAACAATGATGGTTATAAACTGGAATTTCAAACCCAGGTCTTTTTATGTTTAAATCTAGTGCCTTTTCCACAGTAAATTAGATAAACTCTATCTAAAATGTTTCCTGTCGACTATAAACCTGTTATATTTGATTGAATCATGTGAAATTTCTAATACTGACCATGTTTTGCCTTTAAAAATGGTGGGTTTTTTATAGTACTGTCAGAGTAGCCAGTGGTTCATAGTCAGCTAGAAAAGAATTTTTTTCAGAATTAAACATATCAGTACTTGTGCTGACACCCTCTCTGTGAATCTCTTTGGAACAAACTGGAAACTCTTTGTGATCAGTTCCTGGCACATAATAGGTGCTCATTAAAAAAAAAGAACTCACTGTGATTTGAGATGAATTTGAAGGTATTTACTAACACCTCAATTATCCATCTGTAACTTTTTTCCCTGAGGGGTAATAATATTTATTGAATACCTACTACATGTGGTGCTTGGGATTAGCATTTTCATATACATTATATATTTCATTTACAACTCAAAAGGTAGATATCCTCATTTTATAGAATAGGTGGTGGTGTGTCCAGGGCTGTGGAGCTGGGATTTGAACACAGGTCCGTAGGACTTTCTGGCTCCAAAGCCCATATTCTTGCTGCTGTTACCACAGTGGCTCTTAGTTTTCTTATGCTGAAGATACAGTGAAAATCTTAGGTGTGATAGGTGAAAACTGTATAGTAGATTATGAGAGCTAAATCCTGGGACCTCAGCAAATTTTAAATATATAAATACTAATATAGCATATAACTTCACTTATAAAATACTATAAATTAAAATTGAAAAACACAGTTGATTCCTTTACATCCTTGTTAAAAGCTATTGCAGATATAAAGAGTGAGGAACAATAGCTGACCTAATAATTCCTAATGTTTATTGAGTGCTTACAGTGTGCCAGTTATTCTAGGTACTTCACCATATATTTAATTTTCATAATGATTTTTAATGATTTTATTATTCCTAGCTTTATAGATGAGGAAACTGAGGTACAGATGAATAGAGAAATGTGACCAAGAGCACACTGCTCCTGAGTGGTAGAGCCATAATCTTTACCCTCAAGCTTGGCTGCTGCCTTTTATGACATGTGTGCTGGTAGTTGGCTAGGCTTACTTTCTACCATCCTGGCAATACTCACCATTCAAAATTATGCTTCAGCAAAGTGAAATGTTGCTAGTATCATGGACCTTCAGGGATAAGCTTCAGCTGCTAAATCGATGAAGACCAAGAGTCTACTATGTTCAGTCTTACATGTGGAACAGTTACTGGGTTACATCCTGTTGATCTCCAACAGGAAGAACCGTAATCTTTAATCCACAATGCTTTTTCCATCTTGTACATGGTCCCTCTAAGAGTCTATGAGAGTGCATGTTTGCCCTCAGCCTATAATGCATATTCCTTACCCACTATTTTTTCACTGTCGAAATTCTTGTGCTTCAAGGTCCAGCCTAAATGCTCCCTCTTCTTGAACTTGCCAAAAATATTTCCGAGATCCTACATAGAGCATCTCATTCTATAGTGTATCACGATCAGGCTCGTTATTTACATTTTTACCTCCCCTAAGTTAGGAGTATGTTGAAGGCAAATCCTATTCCATTTTACTCATCTTTATGTCCCCCAAACAACCTCTGCCCAGTGGTAGGCAAAAATAAGAATTTATGCCGGTGTTAGGCTGCTTCGGGATGTGATTTGGGTGTCCTCTTCTGCCCATCACCTCCTGTCCCTTTCCTTTAAGATGTCCAGTGTGGCCAAGCCCTTATCCCATTTTCTCCATACTCACATTTGATTGTCAGAACATCAATCCTAAAGCTATACCTCTAACTTTCTGTTATATTTTATCATGAGAGTTAGAACAACCCCAATGTTCTGTCTCTGCTGGCCATCTCTCAAACCCCTTCTGAGTACCATCTCATCTGTAATAAAAAGCCAGCTCCTAAAGGTGGGGTTTCCTTTTAAAAGTCTGTTCCAGAAGCAGGTCATCTTCCTTATGCTGTTTGCACTCTGGCCTACTCATTTTGGTGATCCCACAAACTTATCCATTCATTAGGAGCTTTGGAGTCAGACAAGCCTGGGTTTGAAATCTAAAGTGTGGCATTTGTTAGCTATTTAACCCTGGTTTTCATCTCTGTGAAGCAGGGATAATGAGGTGCATTTTGAAGATTCAATGTTATAATATATGTAAAGTGCTTGGTACATAGCAGGTGCTAAATGAACAGTAGTTATTATTTTCTTAATTGAATGTATGCATACTTTTTTTTCAGAGAGCCCGAGCTCAGCATATTGTACCCTGTACCATATCTCAGCTGCTTTCTGCTACTCTGGTTGATGAAGTGTTCAGAATTGGAAATGTTGAGATTTCACAGGTAAGTAAAAATAATTTGTGGAAGAGTCAATCATAGGAATGAAGAATGAGATAAAACTAACATCATTTAAAAATACATAGGGGTGGGCTTCCCTGGTGGCGCAGTGGTTGAGAGTCCGCCTGCCAATGCAGGGGACACGGGTTCGTGCCCCGGTCCGGGAAGATCCCACATGCTGCAGAGCGGCTGGGCCCGTGAGCCATTGCCGCTGAGCCTGCGCGTCCGGAACCTGTGCTCCGCAACGGGTAAGGCCACAACGGTGAGAGGCCTGCATACCACAAAAAAAAAAATACATAGGGGACTTCCCTGGTGGCGCAGTGGTTAAGAATCCACCTCAATGCAGGGGACACGGGTTCAAGCCCTGGTCTGAGAAGATCCCACATGCTGTGGAGCAGCTAAGCCTGTGTGCCACAACTACTGAGCCTGTGCTCTAGAGCCAACGAGCCACAACTACTGAAGCCCGTGCGCCTAGAGCCCATGCTCTGCAACGAGAGAAGCCACCGCAATGAGAAGCCCGCGCACTGCAACAAAGAGTAGCCCCCGCTCACTGCAACTAGAGAAAGCTGGCACGCAGCAACGAAGACCCAGTGCAGCCTAAAATAAATAAATAAATTTATGGAAAAAAATACATAGGGACTTCCCTGGTGGTCCAGTGGTTAAGATTCCATGCTCCCAATGCAGGGGGCCCAAGTTCAATCCCTGGTCAGGGAACTAGATCCTGCATGCCGTAACTAAGAGCCTATGTGCCACAGCTAAAGATCCCGCATTGCTGTAATGAAGATACCATGTGCCACAGCTAAGACCCAGTGCAGCCAAATAAATAAATAAATAAATATTTTTAAGAAAATACATAAGTGTTGCTTTGGTTTCCAAGAAAACCAAATTTTTTTTTCTTCTGGTCTAGGTCACTATTGTGGGGATAATCAGAAATGCAGAGAAGGCTGCAACCAACATTGTTTACAAAATAGATGACATGACGGCTGCACCCATGGATGTTCGCCAGTGGGTTGACACAGATGTAAGTAGTTGTTTTTGAATCAGGGTGGGGTTACTTTGGGACTTTGGAGATGTTGAACTTTTTTAGTCTTACTTTTTAGAGGTGGATCTTATTATAAAAATATAAGCAAGACATCAAAGGCAGAAACCCTAACATGAAGGGCCAATACATTTGATGTCATAAAAAATTTAAAATCTTTTAAACTTCCCAAAATACTATAAACGAAGTTAAAGGGCAAGTGACAAGTGACGGGACACACTAGAATGTAAACTCTGTGAGAACAAGGATTTTTATGTTGGCACTGTATCCCTAGCACCGAGAACAGTGCCAGTTACATAGTGGGCCCTGAGTAAATATTATTTAAATTAGTGGGGAAATTTTTTGCAAAATATTACAAACATTTTAAATTTTAAATTGAAAGTTCTTACAAAGCAAAAAGGAAAAAGCAACTACACCTTAGGAAAACAGGCAAAAAATGCACAAGTAATTCATAATAGATGAAATACAAATTGCAACAGCAATAAGAAAAGCAAGTTTACTTAACATTAAGATACCATTTTTAGCTTATTAAATTGGCAAAGGAGAAAAGAGAATGGAAATATCCACTTCTATTGAGAGCAGTAGGCGCTTAATTTATGGAGTGATTTGTCACTGTTTTTCTGGGGAAGTGGATACCGTCCTACCTTGATGTTATGAGCATCACCTTTCTCAAAAATCAGCTGATGATCAAAATCATCTCAGAAATGTTGACCACTCCACTGCCAGAAATTTACATTAAGGAATAATTAAAGATACATGCAAAGATTCAGTTGTAAGATTGTTGATCATCACATTATTTATAATAATGGAAAACTAAAAGGAATCTCAATGTTAGCAATAGGATATTATTAATTAAATCCTGGTATTTTTTTTAAAATACTGCAAATGATGTAGAAATGTATGTATTGTCACAAAGAAGTGTTTACCATAAATTGTTGAGAGGAAAAGAGCATGTTAAAGGTAGTATGGGGCTTCCCTGGTGGCGCAGTGGTTGAGAGTCCGCCTGCC